CCCGTTTGAATTGCTAAGGTATAAGGTATAGATATGTTGATCACTACTTATATGACTATCGTATCATCATCATACTATATTGATAGTATATCAATATAATATTAAATCATATTAGTCTCCAAGAATTCTATCATAATTTGCATTTCTCCACATCCTTACCAACACTTGATATAAATTTATACTTTTAACGTTTTATTTATTTTTTTTTTTTGAGATGGAGTCTCGCTCTGTCACCAGGCTGGAGTGCAATGGCGTGATCTTGGCTCACCGAAACCTCCACCTTCCTGGTTCAAGCGATTCTCCTGCCTCAGTAGCTGGGATTACAGGCGCACACCACCATGCCCAGCTAATTTTTTTTTGTATTTTTAGTAGAGATGGGGTTTCACCATGTGGGCCAGGATGGTCTAGATCTTTTGACCTTGTGATCCGCCCACCTCGGCCTCCCAAAGTGCTGGGATTACAGGCATGAGCCACCACACCTGGCCTAACATTTTATTTTGAAAAAAACTTCAAACTAGCAGAAAAGTTGTTAGAATAATACAATGACATCCTGTATAACCTTTACCTAGATTCACCAATTAATAACAGTTTGCTGCACTTGCCTTTTTTTTCTCTTTGTCTATTTTTGCAAAATAGGGATAATATTATATTTTCCTCAAAGGATTATGTTTTAGGCTCTGAAGAACTAGGAATTTCTCCTTTTTCTAGGGAAGACCATACATTAATTCACTTATCTCTGAAGTAAGCATTGAATATACCAAGAAAGAGAGTGACCAAAGGGGATTTGTACTTAGAATTCCTTATCTAAGGATAAGTGCTGATGTCCAGATATTATGCAGTGTTTCTACCCCCTTCTCAAAGGCTGCCTATTCCTGAGCCCTGGAGCTAGTAAGGCTCACTCGGCAATGAAACAGATTACAGAAGGGTATCTATACAACAGCTGAGTCTCATCCAGCCTAAGTGGCTGGCCATTGGAGGGAATGTGGCAAGAGGAAGCAGACATGTTTCCAACCTTTCCGGCAATTTACTTAGGGCAGAAATCAGGGCTCGTGGTGACATTGAGTGACTAGTCTCTTTCTTGTTAGGAGAAAGTTATTCCTTGTATTATTGTTTGTTTTCTATGGCAGCATTACAAATTACCAACCAAAATTCAACAGCTTAAAAAAAAAAAAAACAAGCATTTATTATTTTACACAGTTTCCAAGGATTGGTAATTTGGGAGCCACTTAGCTGCACAGTTCTGGCTGTTGGTCTTTCATGAGGTTCCAGTCAAGTAGCCTGCCAGGTCTCCAGTCATCTGAACTCTGACTGGAGCTAGGGGATCCACTTACAAGCTCACTGATGTGGCTGCTGGTGGAGTACCCCAGTTCCTTACCACAGGGCCACAAGGCTACTTAGGACATGGTGACACTCTGCCAAAGCAAGTGAATGAGAGAAAAAGAGAGAGAGAAACAAAGTATCTTATGGAAGCCACAGTACTTTTTATGACCTAGACTCCAAAGTCACACACCATCACTTCTGCTTTATTCTGTCCATTAGAACCGAGTCACTAAATCCAGCCCACACTAAAAGGGAAGGAAACTAGGTTCCAGTCTCGAAGAGAGGCGTGTCAAAGAATTTGTGAACATATTTTTAAAGCCACCACAATGACGATGGAAATTAAAACTGTAAGCAGGCATAACTTCTAAACCAAAAGGCAGGAAATTTGCTACATACTCTCCTTGTTGCAGAGAGACAGCCTGTTTTTAGAATGAACACGTAGACCTTACTGACTCTTGCTTAACAATAACGGACAATAGCCATGACCTATTAATCTTGACTGCATTCCTGGAAAGGAAAATTGCTGCAGACCCCATGTGGGAATATTTTTCAAGGACCTTTCATAACAGATTGTTGTAGGACTTGAGATAATGAACGTAGTGCCGATCCCTAAAATATGTTCACTAAATGGTAGCTATTTTTATCCCTTCACCAAGCCTCACTGGCTCCACCGCCGAAATCTGTGGCATCTCCTCATCTTATCTCTATCCCCACTTTTCCTTGACTCCATCTAAACTACCACAAGGAATCCCTGTTTCCCTCCTTGTTTTTGACCTCTTCTGTGTCTTGTTTTTAGCAAGAGGTGTTTTTCTTTAAATCTTAGTGATAACTTGTATTTTATAGCAGTTCTATTCATTTGCTGAACCAATCTACTGAGTTCCTGAGACTCCTAAACAGAGAAACTCTGAACCAATTTGACTGAAAGTCGTAGGGTAGGGGTGATTAAGGAGAAAAACGAGGAGGAGAGAGGGATAAAAAACATTTTCCAGGCAGTGGAAAAATTGTCCTGGCATGGTTTCCTGCAGAATGTAGAGAAGGAAATTGATGTTATAAATGAGCTTTCCTCTCAAACAGCTGCCCTCTTCTGGTCTGACGAAACATTGAGTCACTCCATCTTTGGCAATATGTTCATGGGTCACTGAGTTTATAGTTTGTATTCTAGTTCTGAGGCTAGCAATGACATCTGCTTGAGTGTTCTGGCAATTAAACTAATGCCTTACACAAAATTTTCTTTCAGGCAAGATTTTTTAAGGTCTAGTTGGAATTCCTGGGTGATCTATTGTGTTCATATCAGGTTAATATAGCTTTTTAATGTGCATGCACTTAGATTACTGAATGTATAAATGTTGAATGCCAAGATTAGTTGCTGGTGTATTTTTCTGTGTGAGGCTCAGGCAGAGAATGTTTCTTTAGTCAGTGATATGAAACGACAGTGGGCCTTCAAGGAAGTATTACTCCTTTAATTCCAATTTATTTTCCCTGGCCAGTTTATCGACAGTTTCCAAGCAATTAATGATTAAGAGCTGCCAACCCAGACTCTCCTAGATCCATTAAGTCATTCACAGGTCTTCGTCCCTAAGTCATACCATGATTTCTGTTGTGCTGTGTTTCGATTTTTATCATTGTTTGAATTTATTGTCATCCACTTTAAAAATGCACAGCATCAACAACTCCATTCCAAACAGAGGCAGTTGTCCCTGTTAAGAACAGTCTCTGGAGCAAGCACGTATAAATATCAAATCATTACTATGCCAGCCATTTTCTAGCTGTGATATCTTGGGCAGTTTAACTTATTTCTCCCTTGATTTCCTAATCTCTAAAAAAATGGGGATAAGTGTCACCGTAACTTTGCTTTGAAAATAATTAACATATATAAAACACTTAGAACAGTTCCTGGCACATACTGAACACAATATAAGTGTTGGCTATTATCATTATGATCTAAAGAATATGGGTCATGATCACTATAGACTCGTGAACCCATCAGGGGAATTTTTATTAAGTGGAAACTTACAAATGAACATTGGGTATATTCAAATAAATTTTGGCAACCTATACTGTGGAAACAGCATTAACCCAGAGAGAAACTTTAAATCTTTTTGTCACAAAGAAGGCCCTGCCCCTATTTTATTTCATTTATTTATTTTGAGACAGCATCTCACTCTGTCACCCAGGCTGAATTACAGTGACATGATCACAGCTTGCGGCTGCCACCTCTTGGGCTCAAGTAATCCCCTTGTCTCTGCTTCCCCAGTAGCTGGGACTATATGTGTGTGCCACCACACCTAGCTCATTTTTCTGTTGTTGTTTTTTGAGACGGAGTTTCGTACTTGTCACCCTGGCTGGAGTGCAGTGGTGCGGTCTTGGCTCACTGCAACCTCTGCCTACTGGGTTCAAGCCATTCTCTGGTATATTTACCCCAGGAGTTTGAGACAAGCCTGGGAAACTTATATTAATTTGAATATGCCCAGTAAAAAATGTTCATTTATAAGTTTCCACTTAATAAAAATTCCCCTGATGGGTTTAAGCAATTCTCCTGCCTCAGCCTCCTGAGTAGCTGGAATTACAGGTGCCCACCACCATGCTCAGCTAATTTTTGTAAATTTAGTAGAGACGAGGTTTCACCATGGTGGCCAGGCTGGTCTTGAATTTCTGACCTCAGGTGATCCACCCTCCTTGGCCTCCCAAAGTGCTGGGATTACAGGCATGAGCCACTGCACCCAGCCAACCTGGCTCATTTTTAAATTTTTTATAGAGATGGAGGTGTCACTATGCTGCCCAGGCTGGTCTCAAACTTCCAGGATCAAGCAATCCTCCCACCTCCACCTCCCAAAGCCCTGGGATTATAGGAATGAGCCACCACACCCAGCTTTACCCTGATTTTTAATTACATAATAGAGAAATAAGATCATCTGCTTTGACGTACAGTGGGTTCATAGAAAACCAGAAAGTAGCTCAGCATAATTTGGGACATGAATGTGAAACAGAATAACCTATCTTCAGGCATTGATTCTTCTCCAAAGATGTAATCCAATTGCCCCTACTTTGAATGAACAGACTCCACTGGGCAGAATTTGTCTCAAGCCACCTCACAGCTGGTTGGTTTCTCTTGTCTACTCCATGCACTGTTGCTTTCCACTTGTGTACCACTGTCTGGTCCAGTGATATGTGACTACTGGTTCCAATGGGATTTCTTTCTTCTCAAATACCTACTCAGCATGACCCTTGCAGTTGGTGTGAGAACTGCAGTTGGTGTGAAAATTGGGACAATTTTCCTTAAAATCTGACTTGTTTTGTGATAGGCCTGAAGGATTATCAACTTCTCTTTGACCTAGTCAGTACATTCTACCCCTTATATTCCAGAAACATAGTATATAGCACCAAAGATACCCAGCACAAGCAAATCCAGCTTTTCTGCCTATTAACAAGTACATTGACTTCTTCTCCAAAGTTATGCCCATGTGGAAGCCGTACATAGATACCACACTTCAGGCTTTATCAGTAGTCAAGGTTAGGGTTCAGCAAGTTACATGGTTAACAAACAGCCCAGGTGATTCCTATGCAACTAGGCTTTGGGGAACAACTCCTTAAAAATTACAAAACAAAACCAAATTTTTAAATTTGTAAAACCTATACTAATGACCATCTTCAAGAAAGGATACAATGAAATGGAATGATCCTTCAGTCTTCAAATATTTTATTGATTACCTAGCAAAAAATGTTAGCTTTTGCTCTCTTCATAGTCACAAGTTCATCTTTTGACTTTCCTACCCATTTACGGCTTTGCATTCAGCCAATGTTTCTGTCATATAGTAGGATCACTCTAAATTTTACCTACTATTACACTTCTATTTTGCCAATGCAGATGCAGAAGCTGAAGCTCAATGTCACATCAACAGTAAAGGATGGGGTGGACCCTTTTATTAAGGTTACCTTGATTGAACAAGGCACAAGAATATCTATCTCTCCGTCTGTCTTACTTCTCTTTGGTGCCCCTATATGTCATGAGAATGCTATTTAGAGGTCACATCCTAGGTCCAAATCAGGTAGAACCCAAGAGAAATTCAGATTTGGCATTCTTTGGTGGCAATTCTAGGAATATACTGAAGATACTCCCCCAAAAAAGGAGACTATGCTTTCTTGTGAATATCTCATTTAACTTCAGTAAGATGAGAAGTGCCATTTGCCTGCATGCACCAAGGACCTCTGTGAAGGTCATAGATTCCTCACAGTTGAGGTTCAGTGCTAAGAACTACTGACTTTATATAGATCACTATATGCATCAATACACTTTGAAGAATGGCTGTTAGTAATGCAAACAGAAATAACTTCATCAGATAACTGTGAGTCATGTAGGCCTTCATACCTGGTTTTAATATTCTGAAACACAGACAAGCCAATGGCACTTGGGCAAAGGGTGTTTTATTTACTTTAAATCAAGGCTAATAATTCAGACAAATTTAAATTGAATCAAAAGGTTTCATGAACCACGGTCAAGGCTTTGTGGAGAAATTCTACATGTCTCTCTGTAAATGAACCAATTACTTTGTAAATATCACATATAACTTAAGCCCTCAGAGTACAAACAGGAAAAGAGACAGCCAGAGAGAAGGCACATATGAATTTTGTGGATAAGATTCAGGTTCAATCTACTTACTAAATTCCACTATAAAGAGGAATGGACTTCTTTTTCAGATGCTAACGCTGTACTGAACTTCTAGAATAACTGGAATAGGACATCAACTACCTTCTCTAAGATGAAGGCCTTGTCTACTTCAAAGGCAAGGCCCATACAGATATACCCTAAGGTGAAGCCATGTCTGCAGTCAAGTGAAATGATGGGATGTTGGGCTGGGCTTGAGTCCGTCCCACAAAGGCTTTGTTGCTTTGGGGGAGTTCACCGTAGGGACCACTTCTGGGGATTCCTTTATTTACGTGAAAACCAAAAAGCACCTTTCTCTAAAAATTATCAGCCCCTCATGCCTTTTATTTGCAAACAGCTTTGAGGGTAGGACGGGTTAGTCTTTTTCCTCACCTTATGCCCGGAGCCCTGCACAGTCCCAAGCATGTAATTCTAGAAGCAGTTTCTGATTGATTGTGGTCCCCCAACCCAAGAAACTAAACCTTAATCAGCTCCCACTACTTTGTCCTTCCCTTTTCCAATTGCTTATGACCTCTGACACTCAGAACCACTGATGTGAAACCACACACCTGGGTGCTCTCTCGGTAGTGACTTTCTATTCGAAGGATCAAATACATAATCAAATGGACCGACCACTCAAGACCGGCGACCTACTGGGAGGCCTGGCTGACCGGTGTGGCTGGCTGGCAATATCATGTGAGTGGGTTCACCTGGGAAGGTTCCAAGTACTGAGGTCGATGGTGCTGTCTTCACTCGTCAGAGGAGGAAGGGATGGGCTCCTTCTTGCAGGTGCCATGCTTGGCTCGGTGTCGTTGGAGGTGATTGGACCGGGTGAAGGCCTGGCCGCAGTCCTCACACTGGTAGGGCCTCTCTCCGTTGTGCATCCGTGTGTGCTGGGCCAGCTCAGAGGCAATGCGGAAGGCCCTGCCGCACTCGGCACAGAGGAATCCCTTCTCCCCGGAGTGGATCTGTTGGTGCCGCTTCAGGGTGGAGGAGCGGGCAAAGGCCTGGCCACATTGCGTGCAAGCAAAGGGCCTCTCGCCGGTGTGGATGCGCTGGTGGCGCACGAGGCGCGAGGGCTGCGCGAAGGCCACGCCGCAGTCAGCGCACTTGAAGGGCCTCTGGCCCGTGTGCAGCGTCTGGTGCTCGGCCAGGTTGGAGGACTTGGTGAAGCACTTGCCGCAGGTGGGGCAGGGGAAGGGCCGCTCGCCCGAGTGCACGCGCTGGTGCTCCACCATGCGGCTGGCCACAGCGAACTCGCGGTCGCAGGCGGCGCAGCGGAAGGGCTTGGCGCCCAGGTGCGTGCGCTGGTGGCGCAGCAGCGACAGCGGCTTGTTGAAGGTCAGGCCGCACTCGGAGCAGGGGAAGGGCTTGTCGTTGCTGTGCATGTTGCGCTGGTGTTTGCGCAGGTCCGAGGAGCGCACGAAGGCCTTCCCGCAGTCTGGGCACGGGTAGGGTTTCTCGCCCGTGTGGGTGCGGATGTGCTTCCGGTGGTCGGAGGACCAGGTGTAGGCCTTGTCGCAGAAGGAGCACCGGTAGGGCCGCTCGCCCGTGTGCAGGCGCCGGTGCTGCTGGAGCGTGCCGCGGTGGGAGTAGGCCTTCCCGCACAGCTCGCACGCGTAGCGCTTGGCGTCACCGCGCGTCTCCGCGGGGCTCAGCGGCTTGCTGGGCTCCTGGAAGGCCCTCCCGCCCCGCAGGCGCCTGTAGGGACGCGCCTCGGCCTCTCCGCCCCCGCGCCCGCCCACCTGGTTCTGTACTTTCCTGCTGATTCGCCCTTTTGCTAGCACCGCGGCTGCCAAGCTGGCTGGGGTGGCCGACGCCTGGGCTGGTGTGGGTGTCTCTCGCTTGGGGAGGTCCCAGTTGCTCCCCAGCCTGGGAAAACACAAGAGAGAAGAGTTCTCTGCGGACGTGTCTACACTTTTGTGTGCACAGAGATACTTTCCATTGCTGGGGAAGCTGGATGGGACATCCAAGGCTGCGTCCTGGTTTGCCCTCAAGTCTCCATCATCACCCGCAGATAATCGGTCCCTAAGAGGTTGCAGCTGACCTAACAGCTTGTGTGTGAGACCACGGGGAAGGGTACCCAGAGCTGTGCTTGCTCCCGGGGAGCCTTGGGTCTCGCTGATCTTTGGCACATCTCTGCTCCAGCTGGCTCTCCCGGACATCTGCATTGGTCTCTGCCCCATGCCCCTTGCACTGAAGGAGTCAGAGAATTTCTCCTCTTCTTTGCCTAGCGGATGGGGCCATGGCAAGTCAGGATTGTCACATATTACTGGGGAGCTGCCCCTTAGACAGGCCACTATGTCAACAGTACCCTCTTTTTCTGACTCCCCACCACCTTCATCCTCACTCTCTAAGTTCATGCTCAGTATCTGGGGGTCATGAGCCTCCTCAGTCAAGCTGCTGAGAGGAGACGCCTCTTCCTACCTGTCCTGGGAGTCCACTTGTGCCATGATGTTCAGGTGCTTCTATTGCCTGCTCCTCTGAGGAAGAACCTTTGCTCAGCTCGGGATACCTGCAAGAAGGAAAGTGTGAAGAGAAAAGAAAATCACAAAGAATGTTCTTGATCGCTTTCATGCCCAGAGGGACTGAGGTTCTCACTACTGCTCTGTCTCCGATTGGCCTCCATGCGAGGCATATTTTTGAGTCTCACTGAGGACAGAGACCTAGCCTGCTGAAAATCCCAATCATCCTTATTCCCTCTGGAGAGCCCACTTGCTAGAAGAAGCCCCAGGAGACCATGCTGTCAGGAATAGCCAGAGTGGGACATTACTGGGTGCCAGCTGTGCCCTGTCCCTCCTGGAAGGCAGAACAGAGTATTTGGCCTATATGCCCTCCTCTCTATTCTAGTATCCACTTTTTGTAGGACTGTGAGTTGAGCAAAGCTGTTTTTGCAGAACTGGGAGGGGTTGGGATTCCCAGAATTCTTTGCAGCAGCCCAGTCATTGGCTCAAAGATACCCCCAGCCTTTTAACTGGGAGTAGGGGTGCAGGGAGACAGTTTTCTGCCTTATGCCTACAGATGCCGGTGCTCAACCCTCAACTGCTAACCAAATGTGCCCTTTGTGAGCATGGAGGACAACTCGATGACATGGTAGGAAGCAAGCGCTGGTCCTCCTAAGGCACTTACAGTGTCTGCAACTCAGGAAGCTGGAAACCAGGCTGGCTCTTGCTGTCCCTGCCAGGGGTGCAAGTCAGCCATCCCATGATGGTGTCAACTGGGGATCCCTCTCAGGCCCTGGGCCACCTCTTCCAAAGGCAAGGAGAATGAGGGTGAGTCAGGAAGGCACTAGGCATGTTCCCAAGAAGACTCCAGCTGCCCCTCACAGCTTAACCAGGCTTTCTCAGGCCCTTGAAACTTCTGAGGCACTTCTAACTGCCAGGGAGGCTACCCATAAGCACCCAGGGGGCAGAGGATGCCCACTGAGAGCTTGACCTGTCTTTGAAATTTTGCTTCATCATAAACATTCAGGAGAGTTTACATTCTATGTTGTGTTTGTTTTACAGAAAATAGTGTTTTTCAAGTTACCTTGGGTTTAAATGTTTAATCTTCCCCCAAGTGTGCCATATTGATCCCATGGCATGCCACACATGCCCACTGGAGTACACATCTCCCGACTCAAGAAGCATGGCTGTAGGATTTCAACTATAAGGCATGAGACATGGGAGCCATGTGGGTTTTATTTTCAAACTTATTTTATTTTAGCTTAAAGACACAGAGAAAGCCTGCTGGAGGACTGGTTAACAAGGATTGGGTGAGTGACATATTTTAAAGGAGTTAGTAGGCTGAGAGGCAGGATACTGAGGGTCTCTCCGGGGACTTTAGTCTGGAGAGAAATATCTGAGAGTCCCAGAGGGGGTATTATAACTCTCGTTTTTCTGGACACACGTTATGAGCCAGGTACTATGTTGAGTGGTTCACAAACATGATTTCATTTATTCCTCACAGCAAACCTTAAGATAGATGCTATTATTATATTATTCTTTCAATTTTACAGACCAGGAAAGTGAGCTTTTTTGAAGTTACTTACCTGCCCAAGGCCATGCAGCTCATAGACAGCAGCAGTGGGGTTTCTCTCTAATTTCAAGGCCATTATGTTAAGCCCCAAATTGTCCTCGCTTTCAGCTGTGGCCTCCAGACTGAGGCCTGCTCTCGGGCTGGGCTCTGCCCAAGAGCAGCTACAGCATCCTGGGGTGAAGAGCCGTGGCTTTCTACAGGTATCAAAGCCCCTTGTGTTTTCCAGGCCAAGGAACCTTGGCTGCAGGGCCTCACTGCTGGGCTCCTCCCTGCTCTCATTGACCCAGATTGCCCTCCACCAAAGAGAGAGGCCAGTGGCTGCCCATCAGAGCTGGAACCCGTGTTACAGAGGCTACTGCCTGGGGTGCTCATGAGTATTAGTCACTATTTACCTTCTGAAAGCTCCTTCTCTCTACCTCTGCCCACCTTTCACTGCCATCTCAGAAGGGATAAAAGGAATGATCTTTGTACTTGGCTGTTCCAGTTACCCTGTCCCTATCTCATCCAACTGTTCTTCCCCAGTGTCTGCCTGATCACAAGCCCAGTTACCCTGTGTGTATGGAGGGGAAGCAGTAGGGAGGAATCCTTACTTTCTGCTCTGGATACAGAAGCCGTGGATGGAGGGAGGACACATTGCAGTTGTGACTGGAGTTCAGCATCTCATGTCCCTTTGTGCCCCAAGCCCAGGGACCACTCCTCTTCCCTCACTGCTTCCCTCACCCATCACATGGCAGAAGGTAGCTGGCATGCCTTTTGACAGGAGCCCAGGTCGGACATGTGCTCAGCACAGTGGATCTTAGGGAGTGAATGTGTAGTTCACAGAGGGGACATACCACTAGCCAACTTCATAGAACTTAGCAGACCGGCAGGCTTGATCCAAGGATGTGCGTCCTCCATCAGGGACAGCAAAGGGATGCTGGATTTGTATGAAACGCATGTCTTAGGTCTCCTTCTTTCTCTATGATGGCATACTGCCTGTTTCTGTGGCACTGTTCACAGATCACTGACTTTACCCACTCCCCACCCCACCTCCAGTACAAATACCCTATTTTCCACAGCCTGTGTTTCATTGTCTTCCTCTGGGCCACAGGGGAGCCTCCTTAGGGTGGCACACAGCCTTCCACTAGCTAACCAATCCCTTCTCCAGAGCCTGCCAGGAGACTTTCTTTTAGCCATGTCCCCAGCGAATGTGTCCTGCTTTCTTTCTCCTGTTGATGCCTCAGGCGTGCTCTTGGCCACCAGGAAGACCGGGAGGCAGGCAGAGGCTCAGGGAGGGATTTTCTGGCAAAGTCTGCATAACTATACCTGGCCTGGAAGAGGAACACTGGTGCCATGGTATAGCTGGCCTCTCTGCTCTCTAGATGTGCTTGCCCCTGGAGGCTGTCAGAGCATAGTCCTTTGCTGGAACTTTCTCTGCACTTGCCAGGCAGCAATGGACCAAATGCAGCCTCCAACTCCCCGACCTCATACATCCATCAACACTCTGCAGAAGCCTACCCTGAGGGCTTGCTGCAACCCCGCTCAAACCCCTCTTCTTTCCTTCCACTTTGGACTACAGTCCATCCCAAGCAGCCGCCTCCTGCTTTCTCCTCTGCTCACAGCTCTCAGGCCTTGCTCTCCATTCCTGGCTCACACACAGACAGTTGCTTACCTGGGAAATGCAGACAGCAGTGTGGGCCCCCCTGCCCTGGCTTCTGTGACACGTGGGCTCTCAGCAACAGGAACCAGAGTTGAGTACAAATCAGCAGAGATGGTGTCTCTGTCTCTCACACTTTGTGTCCAGTCCAGCAGCTGCAGAGAGAGCCTCTGGAGGTGGGGCCAGTGTAATACACTCAACCTTCCTGCCTGCATCCAGAAAGCAGCTTGGGAAATAGAGTGGGGCTGCCCTCTCTCACTGCCTGAACCGATCCTCCAGCTCCCTCTGCTCCTGCCTCCCCTCCCTGCCAAAGCCAGTCTCCCTCCTTCCCTCCTCTAAGTCTTCCTGCAGATGGCCCTATGCCTCCCTGTTCACTTTCACTCCTTCCTTCCACAGAGCAGTCCATCCTTCACTTTACCCCTTGTATGCCCACGGGCCACATGTCACTTGTGAGCTTCCTGGACAGTACGGTTTTTCCTTCCTGGAAGGCAGAACAGAATATTTGGCCTGTATGCCCACCTCCCTATTTTGGTACCCATCTTTTGCAGGACGGTGAGTTGAGCAAAGCTCAGTTTTTGCAGAACTGTGAGGGGTTGGGATTCCCAGAATCCTTTGCAGCAGCCAGTCATTGGCTCAAAGATGCCCACAGCCTTTTAACTGGGAGTAGGGGTGCAGGGAGACAGTTTTCTACCTTACGCCTACAGATGCCAGGCCTGTCTGTGGTCTCTTTCCACTTTCAGCATTGGTTCCCATGCAGGTTCATTTTGAAGAGGATTGGCTCGGGGTAGAAGACTCAGTATGTTCAGAATTTTTACCCACTCAAGTCTAATGTGCATTTATAAGGAAGAACATTCAGGACATTAAAATAAGAGATGGAAGTGTGGTTCCTGTGATGTCACTAGGTGGTCACAAACTATACTGCTTGACAGCAGGATCTGGGTCTGGGATTGAATCTTACTACTCACTAGCTGTGTGATCTTGGGCAAGTTATTTAACCTCTATGTGCCTTAGTGTCTCATCCGCAAAACAGGGACCAGGATATTATTGCCATCGTGGAAGTCTGGGGAGGATTAACTGAGATAATGCATGTAAGGAACTTAGCTTAGTGTTTGGAACATAGCAAATACCCAGAAAAGTTAGCTACTGTTACTGTTGATGATGTTAGCTATTGTTACTGTTGATGAGGTTTTTTACATTTTAAGTTCTGGGGTACATGTGCAGGATGTGCAAGTTTGTTACACAGGTAAACGTGGGACACGGTGCTTTGCTGCACCTATCAACCCTTCCTTCACCTAGGTATTAAGCCCGCATACATTAGCTATTTTTCCTGATTCTCTCTCCGCCCCGTACTACCCCGACTGGCCCCAGTATGTGTTATTCCCCTCTCTGTGTCCATGTGTTCTCATTGTTCAGCTCCCACTTACAAGTGAGAAGACACAGTGTTTGGTTTTCTGTTCCTGTGCCAGTTTGCTGAGGCTAATGGCCTCCAGCTCCATCCCAGTCCCTGCAAAGGATATAATCTTGTTCCCTTTTATGGCTGCATGGTATTCCATGGTGTATATGTACCACATTTTCTTTATCCAGTCTATCATTGATGGGCATTTGGATTGATTTCAAGTCTACTATTGTGAATAGTGCTGCATTGAACATATGCATACATGTATCTTTATAACAGAATGATTTATATTCCTTTGGGTATATACCCAGTAATTGGATTCCTGGATCAAATGGTATTTCTGTTTCTAAATCTTTGAGGAATCACTACATTGAGAAATCACTTCCACAATGGTTGAACTGATTTACATTCCCACCAACAGGGTAAAAACATTCCTATTTCTTCACAACCTTGCCAGCATCTCTGTTTCTTGACTTTTTGATCGTCGCCATTCTGACTGGCATGAGATGGCATCTCATTGTGGTTTTGATGTGCATTTCTCTAATGATCAGTAATGTTGAACATCTTTCATGTTTGTTGGCTGCATGTATGTCCTCTTTTGAGAAGTGTCTGTTCATGTTCTTTGCCCACTTTTTAATGAGATTGTTTGTGGGTATTTTGTAAATTTGCTTAAGTTCCTTGTAGATTCTGGATATTAAACCTTTGTCAGATGGATAGATTAAAAAACATGTCTCCCATTCTATAGGTTGTCTGTTTACTCTGATAATAGTTTCTTTTGCTGTGCAGAAGCTCTTTAATTTGATCCCATTTGTCAATTTTTGCTTTTGTTGAAATTGCTTTTGGTGATTTCACCATAAAATCTTTGCCTGTGCCTATGTCCTGAATGGTATTGCCTAGATTTTCTTCTAGGGTTTTTATAGTTTTGGGTCTTACATTTAAGTCTTTAATCCATCTAGCATTAATTTTTGTGAAAGGTATAAGAAAGGCGTCCAGTTTCAATTTTCTGCATATGGCTAGCCAGTTCTCCTAGCACCGTTTATTAAATAGGGAATCCTTTCTTCATTGTTTTTGTCAGGTTTTTGGAAGATCAGATGGTTGTAGATGTGTGGTTTTATTTCTAAGTTCTCTATTCTGTTCCATTGGTCTATGTACCTGTTTTTGCACCAGCACCATGCTGTTTTGGTTACTGTAGCCTTATAGTATAGTTTGAAGTTCGGTAGTGTGATGCCTCCAGCTTTATTATTTTTGCTTAGGATTTTCTTGGATATACAAGCTCTTTTTTGGTTCTATATGAATTTTAAAATAGTTTCTAATTCTGTAAAGAATGTCAATGGTAGTTTAATGGGAATAGCATTGAATCTATAAATTGCTTTGGGCAGTATGGCCATTTTCACAATATTGATTCTTCCAATTTATTATTGATGATTTTGTTTTTAGAGAAGACATGGTTCCAGGGCTTCTTTTATATCCCTGTGGCCCTGTTCAAGCTGCATCTCTTCTGAACAGCAGTTTTCAGAGTGGGATCCAGAGAAGCAGGTTTCTCTATCCCCTTGGTATTTTTAAGGCATGGTTTCAGAGGAAAGAGGCAGGCAGCAAAGACATACCTCTAGTTCTTTGAGTTTGTATATCTGGAATAGGGTTCAAATCCTGATGTCCATAGAACCTCTGAAATAAAGTGCAGAACTTGGACATGTACTGTTCTCAAGAGGATCCTTAGCAGCCATCCATTTCCTGAGGGGGCCATATCCAAAAAATGTTGAGAACCATTGGCATTGGGGGAGGGCATGGGATGGGGAGAGAGGGTGAACACTTAAAATAGCTCCCATAGCCAAGTTATCAGTTAGTGCCGCCACCACCCCACATCCCAACATGGTTGATCAAAATACCCCAAGTGTCCATATAGAACAGGCACCGGGCTTCAGATAGCTTTGGCAAGAAAGAACCTAACTCCTCACTGACTGGTGAAGGAGGCTGTGGAGGCGAAAGCTGAAGCTGGGATGAATGTGTGTGTGTGTGTGCACGCCTGTGTGTGTACGTGTGAGTCCCACCCATTCCCAGCCTCACAGCAATGGTACATTTCTCGAGCAGTTACTAGTGCCAACACTATGCTAGCATGACACATGCAATGCCCCAATTAATCTTCATCACATCCTGCTGAAGCAGCTACCAGTGTGATCCCCATTTACAGATAAAGGATACAGAGCCATAGGCATCTTAAGGACCACAGCCACACAGTTCCTACATAGTGGAGTTGCAATTTGAACCAAGGTATCAGAGTCTGCGCTCTTAACCACTACCACACTAGATTCCCAAATGCTGTCCCTCACAGCCTGCATGCTTGACCTTTGCTTGACTCCACCCTTATTTCCTTCTGGAAACCTTTAGTCCCTCCTCCCCAAGACTATGTGACCTGTGTATCTGTGATCACGATAGTCATTCTTCCAGAAGGCATTCTTCTCCCTCAGCCTTGCTGCCCAGAGAGATGGTTCCCACGAAATGCCTGCACAGTCTTATCACCTCTTCCTTATCCAGCCCGGACAGCCTGTTTTCCAACATGCTCTATTTCTAGAAACTGTAACAATTCAGTAATTACCAGACATCTTGGGACGTCCATGTTAAATTGCCCACGTGATTCCTTGGTTTTCAAGACACACTGGTGTTACCGTCTTACTGGTATGGTGTCTTGAAGGGATCGGCCACCTAGTGGTGAATGGCATTAGGAGCGGCCTGGTGGCCAAGAGACAAGGTATACATAAGCCCCTAAGCTCCCTGAATCATCTACCTTGATACGTCCCGCAAGCCATCTTAAGAATGCTGTTTTGAAGTGCCATGTGCCTCTTATCTATGTGAGACTTCGCCATCCTAATGAATGGCACAGAGCAGGTGCAGATCAGGCCTCAGATCTGAGCCCCGGGTCTTGCCTATCCTCCCACTGGTCAACCTATTGCTCAGACTCCAAGGAACAGGAATCCCTTTCGTTTCCTAGATGTGTTTCTCTTTTGACAGCACAAGCACATTTACCGACTCATTTAATCTCCCCAACGCTCACTATAAGACCCACCAGGCATGGAGAGTGGAAGCGCCTTTCCCTAAGGCCACATCCTTTTCCTGCTTTTAAGAATATTTGAAATCTGTATCATTCTGCCCAATTCCTTAGCATGGAAACAAGAGAGGTGTTCTTTTTATGTATTTGTTATCATTTGCAAGTCTGCCTCTACTATCTGGCAGTTGCCCTGAGCTGCTGACTGGCAGTAGTGAAAACAAGGGTCTGCCTGCCTGTCAAGGAAGAGGAAAAAGGAGAGACCGAGGGAGGAGCACAAAGGAGAAGGGCATTTGGTGGGCATGGTGCAGGAGCTCAGTGGTGCCTGTCAACGACGTGGACTGAACGGGTGGAGTGGCGTGACATGGTGGAGCATGAGCCACACTGGCCTGTATTCTTCCCCACACTTTGCTGCCAGCGGTCATCACAGCACGCTGCCTGAGCTGCTTCCAAACAGCATGAATGGCTGGCAAAGTACCATCTAACCTTCTTCCTGCCCCAGCCCTTCCTCCTTGAGGAGGAGTGATAGAGCCATGTAAGTGGCCAATACATGGTGGAGACTTTAAATATTGTTTTACTCTCAGGCATCAAACTTTGTTGAGTCTGAATACACGTGAGGAAAGCAGAATTGGACAGGAACTCAGGACACAATCTAGAGTCAGAAAGGCCTGCCTTTAAATCCCGCTTCTGTTTGTTTTAATGATCTTGGTCCATTGACTTAACTTCTTTGGGCCTCATGCTCTCCATCCATAAAATGGGAATAAGAATAATTTCATGACAGGGTTGTGAAATGACCGGAAACCACATTTTGAAAGCATTTGGTCTACTGTTAGCTGTATAGTGGTTTTTCAATAAATTAGAACCCTTATTATTTTTATCCTAGAGCTGTTGTGAGCTTGCTGATAGCTTTCCTCCATCCCTCTTCTTCCATAATGCTAGTCCTCCATTACCCTGCTTCCAGAAGGGTGACATTCTCTGATTCTGTTCCCCAGCACCAAACACTCCCACAGAGACTGACCGAGCAGCCTTTTTTGAGGCCAGTGACATTCCTAGAGCAGTGACATCATAAACGTGGGACTTCATCGCATGCAACACTCGGCACATGTGGCGATCTGTGACAGGGTGGAAGGTTCGTGCTCTCTGGGTGGGATCACATATGGCAATGACATCACATGTCAGTACTTCCTGCCACCTCCTGCAGAACAGTGCCAGGTAGAATGCCTTCTCTTCACTAACTCAACACCACCTGCCCCGGTGAAGGCTGCACAGTGTGGCGATGTGGTATGAAGGCTCTGGCATCAAGCTATGTGGGTAAATCCTGTTTCTATCACCCTGCATGACTGTGAGCAAGTTGCTTAACCTTTCTGTGCCCCTGTTTCTTTACCTGTAAATTATGGCTAATAATAATATTTAATATCTAGCTTATAGAGTTGTTGTGGGGTTTAAATGAGATGATGTGCTTTGCAGAGTACAAGGGATGGACAAGTGCCCAATCAGTATTAGCTAACAATATGAGATGGGGAGTCACCTTTACCTCCTGAACAGCAGAGAACCCACCTCTGGTCTCCACTAGAGGCTTTTCCTCAAGCTCTCTGAAGGCCGTGCCCTGTGGATGAGCTGCAGCCAGGTCCTACTGGAGCGGTGGTCACTGGAGCCACTTCTGGAACTCACCAGAAGACCAGCCCTTTCCAGGCTTCTCAAGATCCACATTGCACTGCAGTGGCCCTGCCGGATGACGCCAGAAGCCCCTGGCCTGGCCAAGGGAGGATAAGCCGCAAGCAGTGGATGGGGCTCATGGAGCCCTCAGGGTACGAGAGGCTGA